GTAGAGGCTCTTATTCAGAAGGCACTGTCATTTCCTTAACAGAGAACGATAAGGTTCTTGACTCTATTTGCTACTCTGGTATTAGTGAGGTTGCCAAAACAGGAAGCAGAATGCTACAGGGGACTGTTCCTCTGTCTTTATCTGGGTATTCCTCCTCATCTACATGTCTTTCAGTCCTAGCAGCTAAGCTGAAAGGTGACTCAGTAAATCTAATCAGGCTGGCTCTGTGTGCAGTCCATCAATTAGATGATTATTCCTGTATTTCCAGGGCCTGGAATACAGCAGGCTTTTGGCTCTTGGTCTGTGGTGTTGGATGTTGGAGTTGGAGGCAATGATGGAGGGGAAGGTGGTGGTGATCTGCAGTACAGAGAAATGATGAGATCCGCCATGCTTGGCCCAAGCACTTTGTGGTCCTCTCCAGTTCCAGGCCCAGTTGTGGGATGGGGTAGGGTAGTTGGCTTTTGATCTGCCACTCCTTCTTTGCTTAATCCCCTGAATCCCCCATAGAACAGAGCGCCAGCCTTGACCTCCATTTCCAGGAAACAAAAGTAAGGTTCTTAAGGGCCCCCTGACCTGCTGTAGCTTGTGAAATGAGTGAGCAACCGACACGGTCTGGGGCTGTCACTTTGTCATCTGTTGGTGATGTGCCTGTCCTGCTGTCTCCCTTCTCTGTGGCTGAATAAAGAATAGCCCTCCACTGGGATCTCCAGATGACTCCTTTTATGGAGCCATTGCCTTATCTTGAAAAAAAATATTAGCTACATGAAGGCACAGAAGATTTTGATGCCTCTACCGGTGATGTGGGTCTACCTGAGGACTAAGAGGATATGATTACAGACTCCCAGAGGGCGTGTGAGAACAACTTGAAAAGGGAAAAATGAAAGAGGAAGATATGAAACACATGGGTCAGCCACTCGGTCAGGTTCTTGACAATAAATTTAATTCAGGTGAAGGCTCTTCCCTCCGTGCAGGCACCAGGGGAGTGTATGAGATGCAGCATGCCTCATAGGGATGGTGGGGGACATGGCATCAAAGCCAGGCTGAGGGGCCCTGGATGTCAGTGGCACTAACAAACACATGAGTGCCCAGGTCCAAGGAGCAGCATTTTCAGCATGTGGGAAGAAACTGGATTCTGGACGTTTGAGTTCTGGCATCTAGATGCTACAAACCCAAAGAACTGAAAGCAAATGCAAAGACAGAAAGAAATGGGTGGGAGGGGGCTTCTGATACCAGTGGGGTGTAGCAAATGAGCAGGACCCATAGACCACAAGCCCACAAGAGCAGGGCCTAATGGTCTGGTTGGGGGTGTAGAGCTGCAGTACTTTGTGGCTAGCCCCCAACTCCAGAGCTGGGGAGTCCCTGGGATGGACATGAACCATGGGCTCTGCCATCCTGGGAATAAACACAGTTTAGGAACCTCTTTTGCTGAGAACCAACAACATGCAAGACAGTGGAGTGACTCCCTGCTGACTCATGTTTTTGTCTTCCCAATCTAGAAAGTCTACAGAAACTCTTGGGAGCAGACCCGGGCTGGCAGTTACGACTTCAGGCTGGATGCCATCCCATTCCAGACTGCCCGGGCATCCAGAGAGATCGCCAGTGATGTAAGACCTCATGCTCTCTCCCTCCAACAATGATGGGTTTTACTCTGGTTTCCCAGTTCTGTTGAAAGACAAACCACCAGCACTCATCAAGATATTCTCCTTCTCTCTCCCCCCACAGCACCAAAACTAAAAATGCACTGTTATTTTAAATGCGAGAGAAAAAAAGTGCCTTATTTTCTAAGATCTTAACCAGAAATTTGGGATTGTATTCCCACTTCCTCTCTTTTAAGGGAGACACTCTTAAAAGTTAATGTCTGAGTACCTAGAAGCTAATGAAATGTGCTTGGTTTGTTGATTTTCAATAAAGGGGCTTTTTTTTTCCCCCCCCAGAAGTGCAGTATGGTAGAGTAGGAAGAGATGGGCTTTTGCCTTGGTTGACTTGAGTTCACATCCTGGTGCAGTAACTTAGGAATTGGCTGTTTGACTTGGGCAACTTGCTTAAATTCTCTGAATGCAAATTTCCACATGTTCAAAATAAGGATCTTGTCCCTTAGGATTAATGTAGGAATGAAAACAAAATGGTATGTGTTGTATGGCACATAGCGGGGGTTCAAAAATGGCAGCTATTATCGAAAAAGAGGATGTTGTTTTGACCAAACAGGTACTCCTTAGCACTGGACACAGGCTTACCTTGGAACTGTTTCTTGCTGGTCCACAATGTGCTAAGTATAGAAATCAAAAGTAAGCTTTTTTTAAAAAAAATGTTTTTAGCAATTAGACACTGCAACATCCCAGCATGTGATAGGTGAACTCATCTCTTTGAACAGGGTGAAAGCCATTTGGGGTGTTATCAAATGCACGTGGTACTACCACAGGCTAGCCACGTGTAGTAGGACCACATATGGGTCTTTGATGCATTGGAAATTCAAAAGTAAAACAAAATGAAACCGGCTCTTCACTGCAGGTGGTTTGAGGAGTGCTGGACTAGGACCTTGAAAACTGGAAATAATCAAATACAAAGTAGCCTGTGTGAGAAGGGGCACACAGATGGAGTATTAATTGCAGCAGCAACAATATCAGTAGCCACCACTCAGTGGGCAAGAGTTGGTGCCAGAGTGGGTGTCCCCTCTGGGACCAGCCTCACAGATGGGGCCAGGCCATAGGATTCTCAGCAGGAGAATCCTGGCCAGTTGCTGGCTCCTCTTGGCCTCGGTCCCGCAGGAACGCAGCCCACATCTGGTTGAATCCTCTCAGCCTCCCATGGGGTAGAGATCACTCTCCCAGTTTGTCAGATGAGGAAACTGAGGCTCAGAAAGAGATTCAGTAACTGACCCAAGGCCACCCAGCTGGGCCAACTTAAATTCAGAACCTGTGTCCTTAACCTGCTCTTGAGCCTCCTGCTGAGAATCCTACGGCCTGGCCCCATCTGTGAGGCTGGTCCCAGAGGGGACACCCGTGACCTGCCTCTGCTCCTCTGACTTGCAGTTCCGGTACAAAGAGGCTTTCCTGCGGGACCGAGGCCTGCAGATTGGATACCGCAGCATCAACGATGACCCAAGGATGAAACATTTCCTCCACGTTGGCAGACTCCAGAGTGACAATGAGTACAAGAAGGACTTTGCCAAGAGTCGGTCCCAGTTCCACAGCCGCACAGACCAGCCTGGCTTCCTTCAGGCCAAGAGGAGCCAGCAACTGGCCAGTGATGTGCATTACAGGCAGCCCCTGCCCCAGCCCACCTGTGACCCGGAGCAGCTGGGCCTCAAGCACGCCCAGAAAGCCCACCAGCTGCAGAGTGATGTGAGCCACCCCTACCCATTCACTGAGGCCCTTCCCTGGTGACTCTTCCTAGGAGATGGCCATCATCTCACATTCCACATTACCTCCCAGGCTGAAATAGAACCCAAAACACTAACACTTAAGAACCAGAAGGGGTAATAGCAGTAACCACCTTTACTTGAGTTGCTACTGTGGGCCAGGCTCTGTGCCAAGCATTGTGCCATGCAGCCCCCACAACAACCCCAGTTCTGCCTCATTTTACAGATGAGGAGCCCAAGACTCAGAGGGGTTGAGTGCCCTACTCACAATCACACAACAAATAGGTGGCACACCTGGGATACGAACCCCATTTGGTTTGATGTGAGAGCTCAAGCTCTTGATGGCTGCGCTGTGCTGCTTCCAAGGGATCTTAGTGGTTACCTAAGCTAATATTTGCACTGATCCTGGGAACAAACTGGAGCCCAGAGAAGAGCAGTGACTTCCCTAAGGCTACAGAGTATGTTATAGTAGAAGCAGGTGCGCCCCGCTTGTAGTATTCGTCACTTGAATGGGGAAATACAAGGGACAGTGACATACTGGCCTGGCTCACAGCACAGTGGGCCCTCCATGCCTGGAAGCTCTTGCCTAAGAGATGAATATGCTCTCCTTATTCTGTCTTTACTGAAAGCAGCATATTCTCCATCTTGTGGCTGCCTTTTTAATCCTATTTTTTCAGTGGTCAAGCCACCCCCAAACCCTGCTAACATATTCCTCTTTTCCTCAAGGTCAAGTACAAATCGGACTTGAACCTGACTAGAGGCATTGGCTGGACCCCTCCTGGCTCCTACAAAGTGGAAATGGCTCGGCGGGCTGCAGAACTGGCCAACGCAAGGGGCCTGGGTCTCCGGGGGGCTTATGTGAGTCATGAGCTGCAAGGCCCTGGGGAAAGACAAACTCATTGTTTCTTTTCAAAGTTTATTTTTGGCCAAAGGTCAGCTAGCGCTAAAGAAGTGTGAAATGCAGCTCAAGAAGGTGCCTAATTTCATGGGTCTGAGATGACCAGGCAGATAGCTCATGGGTTAAACTTCCTGCAGGGTTTTCTCTGAAGTCACAGCCATTAGTTCTGCAGAGGCAAACCTACCGGGGCTACATCAATCCCGGGCCAGGGCAGCCCAGGCAGCGCTGACTGCTTGCTCGTTATATCCCTGAGAAGGGTCAGGGACTCACTGGATACAACAGTCTGCATTTTGAACCCTACTTTGTTCAGAAGAAAGACACCACGTCTCAATGAGAGATTGGCTTTGCTTCTTTCTCATTCTTGCCTTGAGGATCCTTTTTCCCGGGGAGGGTGGAGGAGGGGAGAAGAAAGGGGAGGAGGAACATGTTAAAGGCTCCTGGGGCCTCGTAGAGTGTCCTGTGGGAGCAGGGCAGGAGCTGCATGCTAACTCGAGGTGTGTTTGATTTTAGCAGGGCGGGCCAGAGACAGTGGAGGCTGGAGGTCATCAGAGTGGGGAGGTGAACCCAGATGCCATGGAGATTCTGCACGTCAAAAGGAAGAAGGCTCTGCCATTGTGAGTGAGCAGGTTCCCCCGACTCTTGAGAGGAAGGCCAGAGAGGAACTTTGCTCGCTAGAGTTTGGACAAGCTGAAAAAATGCCCCCCAACCCCTCCCAGATCCACCATTATTAAAACAACTCTGAAAGCAAATGGAGAATGTTGTATTTGCGGTCCTCTCTGATACCGAGAGGTGGGTGGCTGGCTCTGTTGAGTACCTCAAGGGTCTGGGGTGAGGACTAAAGATGTGAGGTGACTCCCACTGAGCTGGGAATTCTGTAATCTGCGTTTGCGAATGTTCAAGGTGGAGGCAGTTTCTGTGAACATCGATTTTCTAGAAGGTACAATTGTTTGAGGGAAGCAAACAATGTATGTCATGTGGCATCCATCATTCCTTGTGCTACCCAGGGAGTCAGAAGGAGCCTGATGAGATGGTGCAAATGCTGGTCCAGAAAGGCCCAGGCTGGGCAGTGATCGTCTCTGCTTAGAATACAGACACTCCTAAAGGCTCTGGAGGACTCCATTGCTGCCCATGAGGCCTCCTCTTATCTGGACGCTGAGGAGGATGGGCTCTGACATCCAGAAGACAGCATCTTAGAAGCCAGCTTCCCTTTGGATGGTGGCTTTGATCCAGTTCAGAAACTTGGTGACTTGGGTGTAGACCCCTGGCTTCTTCCCACATTCTAGGCCCCAGCTCACTATCCCATAAACATAGTAGGTGCCATCCTTCTCACAGGTCAGAGGGCCTCCAGAGTCACCCTATGGGAAACAGAGGCATGAGTTCAGTCCTGTGAACCACAGTACATTTGGAGATAACCCCACCTCTCTCTAGGAGGTTCTGGCGGGTGATGGGGTAGAGTCGCCCGTCAGCCACCATGGGCTTCTTTGGAAAGCAGTGCCAAGGCTCTTCCCCATGCTTCCCATGATGCAAGACTTTGAAGGGAGGGCAGCTAGCACTGTCCTCCATTCCTGAGTCCACGAAGGCTTGGCAGATATTACTACTATGAGTTCTCAGGGACCCTCGACTTACTCCTTCTGACAGCTGACCAGGGGTAGGGCGTCCTGCTTGGGGAGACCCCTTCCAGAGCCAGCAGGGCACACACAGGGGAGGAGGAGGGGGACTCTGAGGCAGCGTGGCCTTGGTGTCCAGCATGGTCTATGGGATCAGAGCTTTTGGGTTTCAAACCAGGTAATTTTATAGATTAGGCATCTGAGATTGGAGAACTACTTTAGTAATTGATGAAGATCACTCAGTGAGAGACAGAACCAGGTTTCAAACCCACAACTGTCTGTTTCCACAGCCTGGAAGTGAAACCTTTGAATTGCCTAGGGAATTGAACAAGTTCTTTTCCTACTTATCTTCCAGGAGCTTAGGGTGAATTGCACCCATCTGCCCATGCCCCTCCTCTGAGTCTATGAATGCCCACAGCTCCCTGGAAAGGAAGAGAGGGTCGCAGGAGAGCCACAAACCCTGGAGAAAAGAGCCTCAATTTCCCATCCCAAAGTGAGCTCCAGGTTGGCAAATCATTGTTGGGTTCCTTTGTAGGAAGGCTCCATCAAGGAGCTAGGATTTGAATCTGTACTTGCTCGGTTTTCTATGATAGTTGGATTGTTTATGAGGACAATAGGCAGGAAATTCTAAATGGAGGTGTTCCTGGGAGTCCTGTGTGTTATGATCCCTGCACAGGGAGAAACTATGGCGAGTGGACTTTGACTTGAGGCAGGGATCTGAGGTCACTTTAGCACCGGTTGATGAAGCCACCACCTACTCCATCTTCGGCAGCATTTTTGAGTCACAGGCCTCAGCAGCTTAGGGTTTCCAAAGGTAGCAGAAGTCAGGCAGGCCCTAAGTTGGCCATGGTCACAGAACCACTTAGTTTGCTAGGGCTCAATCTCTTTCTTTCTCTCTCCCTCTCTCTCTCTCTCTCTCTCTCTCCCTCTCTCTCTTTCTCTCTCTCTCTCTCTCTCTCACACACACACATACAAAACAGCCTAATGATAAGTTAATATTATAGTGAAATTTCTAGGCCTCACATCTTTCTCCTTCTAGCCATTAGTCTTTGGACAGTTCCTAGTTTACTGCGATTTTCGGACATGCTGCCCAATACTGAGGTAGAAGGTGCCTTCTTTATATTTAAACACAATGAGACACAGTAGCAAGGGCTTTGGTATCCGTTGTTCAAATTCCAGCCCTGCCTTTACCATAGACATAGTAGGGAATTGAACAAGTTCTTTCCTACTTGTCTTCCAGGAGCTTAGGGTGAATTGCACCCATCTGCCCATGCCCCTCCTCTGAGTCTATGAATGTCCACAGCTCCCAGTTGCTATAGCCCATGATAATTTCTCCAATCATCTATAAAATGGTGATAATGACTTCACCAGTGTGTTGTGAGAGCTAAATTAGATAATGTAGGCAAGTGACCATTATGGTCATTATGCTGAGTCATCCTGGATTGACATGGCTGCAGATGCACCAAGGGACCTTAGTGGGTGGACCTCTGAATGTAGGTCAGCCCAGGGCTATAGGGGGCATCTGTGCCCAGTGTAATGTCTTGCCAGCCTCTCCTTCTCCAAGCACCATGTGGAGTTTCTGACCTGGCAGGTGTCTTTCCCAGGTTTCTGAAGGTTTCCTGCACAAATCATACTGTCATCAATCATATGGTCATAGAGTCGGCGAGAGTTGCACAAAGTGTTGGCAATCAACTTGACTTTGGCATCCAGGAGCTGACGAGACCCTTCCCCTTTAGGGCAGAGAAAAGAGTCATGACTGTGGGAACCAGGATAGCATCCACCTCCCCAGAAACCCATAGTAGTAAAGAGGTCACCAGCTCTCAGCTCAGGAAAAGGGTGTTTTCCAGGAAGTGAGCAGGAAAGCCTCATCTTCAGCCCTCACCATGCCTGTGCAGACCTGCAACACCAGACTGGTCACAATGGACCAGAATCATTTATATTCTCCTCTGTCTCCCCAGATAGACCATGAGATTCAGGAGGACAGAAACAGTGTCTTCACCATTTATTTCATTTCCTAGGCTTAACAAAAGGGCTGGCACATAGCAGATTCTGGATGGATGGATGGATGGATGGATGGATGGATGGATGGATGGATGGATAGATGGATGGGTGAAGTACCTTGGTGCACTAGGTAACCTGTTTCCTAGAACAGACGTTTCCCTCACTCCAAAGTAATGAAATCAATCAAGATATGTCATTGACTTTGAACATAAAGTCTTAGAGGCCTATTCATGAAAAACAAAATGATTCTAACCTGAGGTCCCATAAGATTTCTATCTGAGACATTAGCATGTGACTTTTCTGTAGACCTATTTAAAGTGATTCTTGCTATGTATTAATCAGGGACAAGATTGGGAAAGGAAGAGGAGGATATTTTGAGTCTTTGGGAAAGACTTGAAATACTCTTCTGAATTTTTTTGTAGTAGAGGACATAATCACATAGTACTGTGAAGAAAGTAACCATTTGGTTACTTTTTTAGATAAGATTAATCATAAAAGACAAATCAATAGCTCAATTTAATAAAATTTTCTAGAATATCTACTATGTGGAGAGTTCTGACCAAAGTACTATGGGAGAGACAGAGATGAAGGAGACCTAACCCCCTATCCTCCAGGGGCTGACTTAATAGCTATCTCTGTAGAATTCTGCCATCTCCTGTGATCATGATTCTAAACCTAGGAGGTAAGTATGATTATTAGAAAACCAGAACTCGGATTTTAAGCAACAAAGCCAAGAATCTAATACTAGTCTGTCTGACTCCAAAATCCATGCTCTTTCTAGTCTATCCTTTTTCCAGTCTACCTAGAGAAGTAGCAAAATCTCTCATGGATACTTGATGAAAGCCAAGTAACTAGGGCTAGGGACCTGGGACAGAAATGCAGATTAGGAAAGGTCAACGAAGGCAGGTGGTGAGATTTAACCAGAGCTTGAATGATGAGGTAGATGATTTTGGATAACACATTTTGGATATAACACTTATTTCAACTTCAGAAAGGAAGTTCAGCGTGGCCCTTTCTTCTCCATGGATGTAGCTCACCTACATCCTGGGAAAGTACATGGCAGGACTCACCTGTTTCTGTAACACCCCAGCCAGAGATGTGGCACTCAGTCCCAGAGGGAAAGGGGTCATTGGGCAAACATACAGTCTTCACGTATTTGGACTCCAAAGCACAGTGACCATCCACCGGCTTTAACTTGAGCAAAGCTAGGTGAAGAGAGAGGGAAAATGGGTGTGAAGCCATCTCTTTGCCAGAGAAACATCAGCTTCCACTTGCTTTGAAAGGTGGTCTTAGCAAAGCCCCACACCCCATGCCTGAAAAGCTTCTTCCTTGGTCGTTTTCTTATTTAGCTATTTACTTGCTTATTTATTGAGAGGGAGTCTCACTCTGTAAGTGAGCCTCACTCAGACTGGAGTGCAGTGGTGCAATCACACCTCACTGTAACCTCAAACTCCTGGGCTCAAGCAATCCTCCTGCCACAGGCTCCCGAGTAGCTAAGACTACAAGCACACCACCACCCCCATATTTTTTTTTGTAGAGTTGGAGGTCCTGTAGTGTTGCCCAGGCAGGTCTCCAAGTCCTGGCCTCAAGCAGTCCTCCTATCTTGGCCTCCCAAAGCACTGGAATTACAGGTGTGAGTGTACCTGGCCCCATTTCGTTTTTTGAACTTCTGCCTGGGGAGGAGTAACATTTCAGACTGAGAGTGAGATCAAGAAATAATATTGAACTTAAAATAATTTCTAATCCATTTTCAAAAAAAACAGACTGTAAGAGGGAAATAAAGCTATTGAAGGAGGGAGTGGGTCCCACAAAAAGGGAAGAGGGGCACAGAGCTGAGCAGCCAGCAGCTTAAGAGCATCATTGTCTCTGCACCTGAGCACCCACCAGATGCATGCACCTCATGTCCTGTGTGTTCAGTGCATACATCTCATGTCACTTAACACACAGGAGGCTGAGAATTGTGCACAAGTGTCCCCATTTTACAGAAGAGAAAATGGAGGCTTAGGGAGGTGACCTGATTTCTGGCTAGACTGTTGGGGAGCTAGGATTCAAGGCCAACATCTTCTTACAGCACAGTGTTCCTAGCATCACTTCCCCTCAATTGAAGAGCATGTGCCCATTTATCTACAACATTAACACATACTCTTAAGAACAAAAGCAGCTCTGGAATACATCCTCTACCTTCCTGGGTCCACAAGAAACCAAAATTATCAAGATCACTTTCTAGCACCAAACCTCAGCTTTTTTTTTCCATCAGTGGAGAAATCCACCTAGGACAAGACCTGTGGGTGCCCCAAGAGAGAGGAAACTTGCCAATATCATTGTGAGGGACCTCGTCTCTTTCATTGTACTGATTGTACTTGAATATCTTCTCTACCCCAAAACTCTGCTCGTGAAATTCTGTCTTCTTCAGATCCTGGTCCCCCAGCACCACTTGAAGATGTTTGGCTTTTATCCTGCAATGGAAAATAAGAAGGTCAAGAAATCACCCTGACTCTGCTCCTAGTGAGCTGTGTGACCTTTGACAAATCCCCCAACTTTTCACAGCCTTAGCAAACCTCATCTGTGATCATCTTGCTCACAGAACTCTGCCGTGGGGTCCAAATAGGATAATGTAAGGTGCAAGCTTTATTAATGGAAGCAAGCTCCAAATGTAAGCTGTCATTTTTATCCTACTCCTCCTGGGAGAACTCCCATTCTCCCTGAACCTGGCAGAAGAGCAACCATTGCTTCCTTGAACAAATCTTCTAAAATCCATTAATTGGTGCTAATATTTCTTTACTCGACCTCTCTTGGGGAGTACCTCTTAGAATCCCAAAAGAAATTGTTTAATAACAAGGTGGGGCCAGATGCAGTGGCTCATGCCTACAGTCCCAGCACTTAGGGTGGCTGATTGCTTGAGCCCAGAAATTCACGATCAGCCTAGGCAACAGAGTGGGACCTCGTCTCTACAAAAAAAATTTTTTTTTAATTTGCCAGGCATGGTGGCACTTGCCTATCATCCCAGCTACTCAAGAGGCTGAGGTGGAAGGGACACCTGAACCCAGGAGGTTGAGGTTGTGGTGAGCTGTGATCATAGCCTGGGTGACAGAGTGAGTCTCTGACTCAAAAAGTAAAAATGAATGAATGAATGAATGAACAACATGGATGGAAAGACCTGCAAGTCCACTTCCCAAACCTGGGCTTTGTGGACCAGCCCTGACCATGAGTGTAGGAATCTTTGTGGCGGGGTACAGTTATACAGTTTCCCAGAAGGACACACAGGAGGTCTGGCTGATGACACCTGACATGTGACTCATTGGTGATGGCGTTAGACAGTGGAGCATGCCTTCCTCTATTCAAGGCAGGACTAAATAGATTAAAGAAGCAAATAAATTTGAGTTTGTGTCACATTTGCCCGCTCACTTTCTACACAACTTCAGGTAAGATCCAGGGTCCTCACTTACGAAAAGGGGATAACAACCAACACTTTACCTCCACAATATTTACTGAACACCTGCTAGGTACAAAGACCTGCTCGAGACACTGAAGATCCAGTGACTAATAAAACAGATGAAACCCTCTGCCCTCCCTCAGCTTGTCTTCCAGTAGATAGTTCTGAGGATTAAATGTCACATAATATATGCAGTCCGCATGGTGAGTATTCTAGACATAGCCGCCATTTGCCATTTGGTTTTAAGAAGCCACCTGTTTGCCCTTGAAGCGAGATCAAACCCTTGATCTTGCCCAAGCTACCAAGATGCTGCTCCAAGGGGAAGGTGGGAACACCTTCACACACTCAGGTCATTCTGGTCCCTGATCCCTGTGGATACCTACTCGGTGCAGTGGGCAGCAGTGAGCACCCAGCAGGGGTGGATCAGTGCCCCCCCACAGAAGTGGCCCTGGGGCATGGGGACAGTCAGAGGCAGCGATGTCTGTAGGGATGCTTGCCACGGGTGCTTGCCTGCCGTGCTCTTAAAGCCTCCGTAGATTCTCTTGACCGTCCTTTCTGCTAGCTCAGTCTTCCCGCAGGAGTCAAACCCCAGAAGCTCGGTAAAGGGCTCCGTAGGGCTTTCCTCTGGGTAGACAATGTCTGTGAGACACAAGGAAGACAAATTACACTACTCAGCCTCCCTCCAGTCCCTTAGCAGGAATGAGTTGCGGGTGTGACTCTGAACCCAACTGCTGAGCAGGTGTCCACAGTTAAGAGACCGCAATAATGCATACAGGATGGCATGTAGTAGGTGCACAGCTAATACTTGTTGAATACATTGATTAAATACAGAGCTGGCTGGGCATGGTGGCTCATGCCTGTAATCTCAGCATTTTGGGAGACCAAGGCAGGACATAGCTTGGGCCCAGGAATTCAAGACAAACCTGAGGCCAGGCACAGTGGCTCATGCCTATAATCCCAGCACTTTGGGAAGCCGAGGTGAGAAGAATGCCTGAACCTATGAATTCGAGAGCAGCCCTGGCAACTTGACGAGAACTCATCTCTACAATAAATAAAAAATGAGCTGGGCGTGGTGGCACGTGCCGGTAGCTCCAGCTACTTGGAAGGCTAAGATGGAAGGATCGAGGCTGCGGTGGCCGTGAGTGCGCCACTGCACTCCAGCCTGGGTGACAGAGTGGGACTCCGACTCAAAAAAAAAAAAAAGACCAGCCTGAGCAACATAATGAGATCTCATCTCCACAAAAAAAAAAAATTAGCTGAATGTGGTGGTGCATTCTTGTAGTCTCAGCCACTTGGAGGCTGATGTGAAAGGATCACCTGAGCCCAGGAGGTAGAGGCTGCAGCGAGCCAGGACAGTGCCACTGCACTTCAACCTGGGTGAAAGAGTGAGACCCTGACTCAAAAAAATAATTATAATAATACAGAGCAAGTCTACAGAATTAACGAAGATGTTTTTTCTTATTTCAAAGTGTGTTACTCCTAGAACTGACATGCATACACACTCATATCAACATACATGTAAACATACAAATCCATTTCTGGATATGTGCTTAGCTGTTTATTAGTGCACACATATATTTTGCAGGCTTTTGGGGGATGGAAGGGAGGATATCCAAATGAACTAGAGTAGGCAAGATGACACAGTTGCACAGACGACGGTGATACAAAGGAGAGAGCAGTAAGTGTTGTATATGTAGTGCCTTGTCCCATTCCTCGGGATTTGTAAGGAAGAAGAGATAGCTCTTCACTTGAGAGATCAAGGAGGAGTTCCTGGAGGGGAGGATACTTGAGTATGTTCTCAAAGAATGGTAGGGTATGACCAAAGGCAGATACGGGGTGGAGTGTTACAGGCAAAGGCGACTATTAAAGCAAAGGTACAGTGTGAAACTGTTCAGGGAGTGAATCCCATTGGCCAGGGTAGGAGGGTGTATCGTTCCTGAAGTAGGCACAGATGGGGCAGGCCAGACTGGCAGGAAGACTGTGATGCTAGAATTTGAATGTGTTGTGTCCTAGAGGTTGTGGGGGCCAAGCCAATGTTTGCCCACCATTGTACACCCATGGGCTGGCACCGTGCCTGGTACACAGTGGGAGATGGATAAAGATCTGCTGAGGGCACTGACTTGGAGTCAGAAGCCATGAATTCACAGCTGGATGACCAGTCTGAACCTACAAGGGTCTCCAGGCCTGCTTGGCATCTGGCAGGGAACAGAGCGCTGGGCAGTTGGATCGGCACTGGGATGGTAGTTGGCAAGCAGGTGTGGAGGAAGGATGGGGTGGAGGGACATGACTCTGTGGGTCTGCATCCTCCCCACCCCCAGCTCCTCCAGACAGCAACAGCCTTACCTTGGGCTGAGCAGGCTGAGACATCGCAGTACTCCCACTTCACCTTTTCATTGTTGACTTTAATGAAGCACCAGGGCCTTTTGTCTCCATCTGGGTTTCTAAAAACACAAACGAAACAACTCAGGGGCAAGACTTGGTGACTCCAGTGAGCCTCACTAGAGGACCTTCAGACAAGAGGGTGCCAAGCTCTTGCACTCCCCCTTGTACCACATTCTTTTGGAATCCTTCAGCAGGTTAGCAAACCTTGGCACACAAGGGTGGTCATAGTTTTCTGCAAAACCTTGACTTCCAGAGGAGAATCCCAAGAACCAGGAAGCAGCTCACAAGCCTCATGCCAGATCCAGGGGACATATCCAATTCTTCGTAGGAAAAGAAAGAATACCCCTGTTGAGGGCCCTTTTTGTCAGGGAAGTAAAATAGTCACATAAGCAAGATGAGAGTAGAAATCCTCCACCTGAACCTCCAAATTCCATGAATGGGAATCCTCCAGAAGGTTGCCATGATCTCTCTCCCCAAGATGGCTCCACAAAGGGAACAGCTCCAGGTGGGTGCAAGTGGAAGGTAACTAATGTTTTGTGCAAAGATGATCCCTTGTTTATGAGGTCAGTTTAAAATCATGCAAAGAATCCCTGGCCCTGGCCCACACTCATCTAAGTCATTGGCCATGGTTAGACAAAGGACAGGGACAGGAAGCCAACAGAGTGGTCTGGAGACAGCAGAAAAGGAAGAAGGTAGGCCAATACCAGGGAGGTGACAGCATTATTTTGAGATGGGGAAACCTGAACTTCCTTGGGGTAGAGACTGCCATCTTCAACAGACATTCCATCTGCTCCTTTGCATTTCTTCCTTGAAGTTACGTGGGGCTCAGTGACTATTTCTGACCAACAAAATATGTGAAGGGAGATGATGTATCACTTTTTAGCTGAGTTAGTAAAAAACTCATGCCCCATTTTTCAGTCACTCAGTGCCCTTCCTGAGTATCTGAGTAAGTTTGTGGGCCGAATCTTCTACTATTACCACCACCAACTCACAGGGCACAGGTAGCATAAGGAAGAAATATACTTTGATGTATTTGAGACAGTGGCATTTGGGAGCTGTTTGTTACAGCAACATAACCTTGCCCATCCAAAGTAGGAAGATCTTCCTAGAAAGCAAGCTGATGAATTTGAATGATCTGTTTCAAAATCAAGCGACCAAATCTGAGCATAGGGAAGGAGGTCATGTTCACCTGCAGAAGTTGTGTTCCCCAATCCCATGGGTTTCGGCATCCTCCATAAACATGTTGTAATTCTCCTGCAAGAGGAGGTGGGAGTTCCAGAAAAGGCAGGAGTGCTGGTTGACCGTCCTACTCACTTTCCCTCGGTAAGAGTAGCCATCCCCAACATAGCAGTCATCAGAACCTCGGAGAAAGTATGAGGGCTGTGAGAACAGATAGCGAAGGGGTCTCCTGCTCCCAAAAAAGTGCTAGGTGGGCATATCAAGTGCTCATAGGATTGGGCATGGATGTATATCACCTGAGATTTAATCACAAAATTCCAGAAAGAAGGTGGCTTGAATGTTCCACACTTAACCCTGCTTAAAAACATGAAATATATTGGTTGTGGAGTGTGGGAACTTAGCTCCTTAATTCTGGCTCATACAGGAACTGGTGGAGGGTAAGTGGAAGCCCAGGGATGGCCAGGAGGTTTGGTACTATGTCCTGGTTTATTACTTTCTTTACACAGAGCACGACACCCTCCCTGACCTTAGGCTGGAAGGCTGAGCCAGAAATAGAGTTTGGAAAGCACAATTTGAACCACATTCTGGCAACAAAAACCCAAAGAGGAAAGACTTCCAGAAGCCTCATTTGTGGCCCTGAGTTTCTGATGAGATGACAGAGATTCGTACCTATTTCGCAGAATTTCCCCCTGAACTGGTCAGGACAGGCACATGTGAACTTGGATCTCCGCTTGTGCCGGGAACAGGTGCCCCCGTTCTGGCAGGGGTTTGGCCTGCACACAGGAACCACTGTGAACACAGGAGGGTGGCCAAGGAGCCTCTTCAGAAGGAGTTGCCTATGTCTGAGATGGTGAGCAGATTTTGGTGGCACTTTTCTGGCTTTTGTCCTTTCACAAAAGATGGGTCGCCAAAAGGGAATGACAAAACCACTGATACTCTAGTAAAAGTGCACACAGCTCTTAAGAACATAAGCAAATCTGAGTGGAGTGATAAGGTTAGAGGCCATGCAGAAGGCATGTTTAAGTGGATGGGTCACTCAGTAGGGAAAACAAGAGGCATGAACTGAGCAGGAATTTCACACCCAGTCTGAGCTAGTCAGAGCTAAGTTGAACTTTGGCTCTGTCCCTGGATAGCCTGTAGCCATAAGCAAATTAGTTAACCTCCTTACATTTCAGTTTCTTCATCTGTAAAACTCTTCTTGCAGAGTTTTTTGGAGAATGCAACAGAGAATGTAAATGTCCTGAGACAATGCCTGACTCATAGCAGTGACTCAGTATGTAAAAATTCCCCTACATGATCCTTCTGCCTCAACAGAAGGATCCAACAGCCTCAACCTGTTGGTCTCAGGCGATCCTTCTGCCTCAGCCTTCCAAGTAGTTGGAACTACAGACATGCTCCACCATGTCTGCTAATTTTTTTGATTTATTGTGAAGACAAGGACTCGCCAAGTTGCACAGACTAGTCTCAAACCCTTGGGCTCTGGCAATCCTCTCGCCTCTGCCTCCCAAAGTGCTGAGATTACAGGTGTGAGCCACAGCACCCAGCCGAAGTGAGTTTTCAAGATGATTCTTTTTGAATGAGAAGGAACACAGATCAGCATATTCCCACTGGGGTCTCCAAGGATGATGACTTTAGAAATCCTAGTGAAAAGAATTATCTTGGATGCCATGAAAATATCAGATGCATCTGGACTTCCATGCAGTGGGGTGCAGATACCCCAGGCACAACCTAGGGAAGAGAAACACTGAAAGGGCCTCCGCCACTTACCTCTGGAACAGTCGGGACCCGTGTAAGGGTGTTTACATGCACAGCGGTAGTAGGGAGGATTCTGGATAACAAGACATTGACCCCGGCCACATGGGTTGCTCTTGCACCTGTTTCGCACTGTAGGGGATCCATAGAGAAAACAGGGCAAAGCACAGGACATTATCTGAGGCAAATTTTACTTGGAGGCATATCTGTATAGTACAATGTTAGGGGGCGAGGGTGGCAGACAGAGCCCGTGTGACCTTGTCCATGGTCCTGAAATACCAGGCAACACCAGGATAAGGCTTCTCTCTTATTTGAGGTCATGAATGACGGTTTCCCATGTGCCTTCTGTTAACAAAAACATTGATAATTTTTGCACCTTCAGCAAACAGAGCCACAATTTTAGTCTCCCCGTTTCATAGCTGATTTCATATTCTGTTTACAGTTTTGTCATTCTTTTGAGAAGTTGAGGAATGAACTCAGATACTGTTTACACTCGATATCCCCGACCATCTTGAAACTCTTATTGGAGTAATAAAAGAATTGAAAAGGAATAAGTGACGAGGGCTCAGAGGGAAGAAGTCAACCACAAAGCCACATATACATGTAAGACCCCCTGCACCCCTTTAGATGGTTGCTAGATCTGACAGAATCCAAGTCCTCTCTAGGGCTACAATTAATCCACAGGAGTTCTTATTCCCAATGCACTCTCCCATGGCTTCGTGTTGTGCCCACAAGAGCTCACTAAAGGCAGACACAGTGAGGTTGGCAGGATGAAAGACCGCGGGCCAGGAATTAGGCACCGGGGCTCTAATTTCTCCTCTACGCCTAACTAGCCATGTGACCACGAGCAAGTCCCCTGCATACCCTGGGATATCTTTCTCTAATTGAGTTGGGCCTTATGTGCTCTGAGATCCTTTCTGCTCTCCATTTGAGGAATATATTTCTCTGTTGTCAGTCTAAACAGGCTAAACACAAAGTCCTGAGTTTGGAACACATCTTGGTGTGAGTCCAACTCTTACTCCCTCTCAGCCTCAATCTTCCCAGCTGTAGAATGGACATACTCGTGCCATCTCTCAGTGAAGGGGTGAGGATTCAGTGAGTTGCTGCCTGAGACCCTATAGAGAAATTGCACTATATGTAATACAATATGTACAGTGATCATCTTTCCCAAGAGCTCACTTGGCCCTTTCTTATTCTCTAGAGCTGAAGAAGGAACTGCCCCTTGTGTAACTCAGAGGGAGGAGTGGATCTGTTGAAGGTGCACTCACCATTCTGACATCGGTTCCCAGAGAAAGGGGCTGGGCAGCTGCAGGTGAAGGTGTCCTCTCTGACAAGGCAGTCACCGCCATGTTCACAGGGATTGGACTGACACGGATCTAAGGCACATGGGCAGAAGTCAGGGTTGGCAGGGAAGAGCAGGCGGGAGCCACCATTTGCTCACCTAACTTCCATTTCCGACTCCAAAGGGGAGAATAACTGCCTAGCCAGTGGCTGGGGAAAGGAGGAAAACAAATGTCCTTAAACAACAAGAAAAACGGCAGTCACCTGAGCAGAGAGAGGAATTCAGGTTAGTTAGAGGAGAGACGAGAAGGAGCCGTGACTGTCTCCCCTCGGCCTGGCTTTGGATGGGGCCTTTCTCATTGAGAAACTCCCCTTTTCCCTCATCAGTGTTCTTCTCCTCCCAGTCTTGCTGGGAGTGCCACGGGGTCTGTCTCTGATGCTGAAGGCATTTCACAAGCCTGAAGACCTCCCCTACTTCCAGTGCCCAGGGGTGGAGGTCAGGAGTGGGGAAAGAAAACCCACCCCTAATGAAACGCAAGCTTTCTGAACATCAGGAGAGAAGACCAAAGGCAAGAGGGTGACAGAAGAATTGGCGGCGAGGAGGAAATGACCCAGTGGCCTTCATCTTTCTTCAACTACTTGTTCAGTTAGATTTTGTCATATTTCATCTGTGCCTTTGGCTTTTCATGGTTGTCTGAATGGATCTTCCCTTGGGGAATTCTTTATCCTTCTGTTCACACACATTGTTCTTTGGTTCAGGAACTAGGATCCCTGGGCCCAGCTCTTGTTTTGATGGTCCCTTCTGATGTTCCCCGATGCCCTGTATCTTGGCCCTGCCTTCCAGGCCACTTCGCACAGTTACACAGCTTTTATTCCAGCTGCTAAGTGCTTTCCATTCCTTCTCTTGGTTTAGTTACATGGCATTGCTTGGACTCAGCTTCTTATTTTCCCTTTCTGTCCCATTGCTTGAACTAAGAGGTCACAAAAACAACATACACACAAAAACGCGTACACACACACACGTGCATACCGTACAATTGTGGAAAGCTTCTGAAGAGTGAAAGGAGATGTAAAAGTGCAGCAAAGGTGGTAGGGAAGGAAAGTCCTAAAGCCAAATATGTGCACACTACAGTCTGATGTTCAGTGCTAACTCAGACTCTTCTACATACTTAGGCACTGACCTGTGACCTAAGCTAGGGGAATGATTTTGAACATGGCTGTTATTCAGAGGATCAGGAAACCTAACCGATGCTGCATGAACTTGGCCAAGTCAGCTCCTCTCACGGCCTCACTTACTTGACCTATCATCTGAGGGTCAGGGAGATGGTCTCTAAGGCCCTCCCCAGTCCTCATCGTGTATGACTCCAAGTGAAAAAAAACAAGCAAGTCTGAATAATTTCTTCCATAGCTATTTTACAATACTGGTCAGAAAGAAGGACAGAGAGAAGCCCTTGCATATGGTCACACACACACTCTCCTCTGCTCGCCTCTAAGGAGGGCCCTGAAAGATTTGCTACCTACCATCCTCTGTGTAGTACCAATCAGGATTTTCAGGGTAGGCAAGCGTACTACTGGGAGTCTCTTCCTGGTTGTCATACTCTTGGCTGTACTCATACTGGTCAGGAGTCCAATCTGCAGGGGTGGGAACAGGACAGAAGAAACCCTAATCATTAGACTCAAGTAAGTCAGCATTGTATTTAGTCAGACATTTTTTTCCCCCAAATCCTGAAGGAAGTGACTTTCTAGCTTCTCTCACCAATGAAGATAGAGAGGAGGGGTCAGGCTTTGTGTCTTTTTATCTGGGGGATGGGAGACGTTATGACGCAGAAGGCAGTATTGGCATTAAGCAAGGTTATGAGCACCTGATTGGAAATGGGGACAAGCAGCCAACTCCTGACTTTCCACTCACTTGACCTTGAGAAAGCCAATTTTATTCTTGCTACCTCAGTTCTCTCATCTTTGACCCATGAGAAGAGGATTGGGGCCTTGCAGGATTCCAGGATTGTATATGGGGTCTTCCCAGGGTTGGATCACACGGTACTTGAGTGCCTGGTTGGGTGGTTCTGTGAATAGTATTTCTTGATTGAAACTTCATTAGTTACCTTAGCTTAACAAAGTAAAAAAAAAAAAAGGTATCCCTTTTGTTTTGGCCATGGTATCAAACTACTCCCAAGCTGCAACTATCGAGTTCTTTTAACACACAATATGTATGGAGCCTTTACCATGCACCAGGCTCTATGCTAAGCACTTGACACGCACCATCTCCTTTCACCCTCCTAAAAATCTAGGTGATGTATTACTTGCTCTACTTTCAGTTGAGAAGCCTGAGGTTGAAAGAGGTTGAGTAATTTGCCCATTATTCGTCATGTAGCTAATAAATGGCAGGATATGAACGAAGGCAGTTTGTCTGCATATGACTACCACATTTCCCTGACTCAACTGCAATGCTTATACTTCAACTAGTGTCCTATTGTCTTGAATACATCCACACTTACCCTTGGAAAAATGTGTCCAACCATCCCCATTGAATGTCCAGTTGACTAGTTAGGAATCGCCCAAGAACAGCCTTGAGAAAGTTCATGGATCTTGCCCACTGCAAGAAAAGGCAGGGTATGGAGTCACCCATAGTTGTAAACCTCGTGCTAGACCAGTCTTTGGAAAAAGCGGGTGTGTGTAAGGCCCGACTCAAACTCTTTGCTCTCTGGAGCCATGGTAGATGCTGGTCTCTCTGCAGCTGGTAGCTCTGTGAAAGTTTGGGACTTGAAGAAAGTTGGGTTGACTTCGCTGTCTCCAGCTGGCGGAGAGTGGCAAGTCGCCGGTTGAAGCTGCAAGGAAGCCGGCCAGAGATGCGTATGCTAATGAGGCAGGAGCAAACGCAGATAGCTGACTTGAAAAGCCTCTCCCACGGAGCCAGCTGATGGCTTGGAGGACGGCACTCTACCCAAGCCTGATTATCAACCACATTGTCTCTCAGTCATTCCGTTATAGTCTTTATCTCTTTGGCTTTTGAAAAATCGACTTTTGCACAATGGCTGTTTTATATTTCCCATTAAAATGGAGCTATCTTTTCATTTCTTGTTTGAATACGCCAACTCTGGTTCCTTGCCAAAGTTTCACCTCATTTATCACAGTGTCAAGTCAAGACTCCCTTTGCTTGCTCATTATTTCTCCCGAGCTGCTTTTCCCCACTATGAAAATGCTCCCAGGGGAGGCCACCTTTCCAGGGCTGAGGATCTAGGTTGAAGATAAGGCCATTGTCTTCCCGGAGCAAATAAAGTTTCCTTCCATCTAGCACGATAAAGCAAAGAAAGAGAGTGAGAAAGTGAGGGGAAAAAATGTTTTCCTGAGTTTGTCATGAAAGATTTCAGACTGACATTTAGGAGAGACAATGGGGCTTGGTAATGAGATGATTGCATCGCTTATTTATTTCTTTTTCTTTGGGGAATTTACTTTTGTTTTTCCAACAGGTGTTGATAGATAAGTGCCCTTCAGTTTTCTCCTGTAATTTTTCCCGTCTCTTCCGCAGGCTGGGGGTCACTTTGACTAACCCTGGCTAGGCCGTCAAGAATTACTCGTTTTGCAGATATTTAGTAGTGGAGAAACTTCTGTGTTGATGGAATGGTGTGACTTGGATGAAATGTCTGTGGGAGGATTTTGACTCGAATGCAGCCCTATTAACAAGGTCTGCTCCCTTCTCAGGGAAGCTGAACAGGAACTAAAATATGCAGGCTTTGAATCATAGTCCTGCTAAACAAGGCAACAAGTGCCTCCTATTCTCTAGGGCACAGGGTCCTCATTTCTGATAGGAAGAACCAGTAGAGCTCAGTGGTCCCAGGTCACCAGGGTGGAAGAAGCCATCAGTTGGAGAGCTGTGTAAGGGGCGGCATCAAGCTCCTTTACATCTGGGGTGAGCTGCAGCGTGTTTTTAAGGTGCATTACAAAAGCATCACCTGGGAAGTTTTCTCTACCTCCAAACTCAAAGCTTATTTTGTCTTTTCTATTATGTTGACACTTAATCCTATTGTCTATGTAAGTAACTTGTACTGCGCACCTACAGTAAACCAATTACTATGCCAGGAGCAGGAGGGCATTGGGGACTGTGGAGAATTACACAATTAAGAGTGGGATGCAGTCTTATCCTCAAAGGAGACTCCAGTCAAGGTTGGGTGTGGAAGAAAGCCGGTCAAGGAAGGAGATTAAGGGGTAGAAGAGGCAAGGGAGCTAGAAGTTACCAAGTGTAGGTCTGGTGGCCTCAGGTTCCACAGTGGAACTTCAGTTTGGTATGAGCCAATATGATGACAAAAATAGCCCGATTGCATCTATACTCTTTGCAATGGGACTTTGCAGCTCCTCTCACCAAGAGATGGAGTTGGTTTCCCTGCCCCTTGGGCATGGCCTGGCCTCAGGACTTGGTTTGACCAATGGAATGTGTGGCAGAAGGACCATGTACCAGCTCAAAGCCTAGGCTTCAGGAAGTCTTTTCTTTCTCTTTCTTTCTTTCTTTCTTTCTTTCTTTCTTTCTTTCTTTCTTTCTTTCTTTCTTTCTTTTCTCTTTCTCTTTCTCTCTCCCTGCCACACTCTCTCCTCTCTTTCTCCCCTCTCTCCTCTCTCTCTGCCCTCTCTCTCGCTCTCTCTCTCTCTCTCTCTCTCCCACGTGGACGCCTATGACTGTCACGTGAACAGTTTTGTCAATTCTGCAAAAGCATGAGAGAACATGTGGACAGCAGCATGCTTAGTGGTCGCAGGTGAGACCTCAGACATAGAAGAAAGTCCATCCAAGTTCAGCAAAATGAGACCCAGACAATCCACCAGCTGCTGTAGACACGTGAACGAGCCCAGTCAGGATCAACCGAGCCTGATGCAGACCAGAAGAACTGCTTGACTGAACTGAGCCTAAATTGCCAACCCAATTATGATTTAACTTAAAATTCTAAATTCTAAAATTTTAGATTTAGACTTAGAATTTAAGAGCATTCCTCAGTGACCAGGTTGACTAGAGAGTTTTAGGTTTGCTGGCTGGGTCTCAGATGGTCCGTCTCACTTAGGTACTCAGTCTGTCTGATTTGTTTTCTCCAACTAGATAGTGGATTTCTTAAGATAAGATCCTTTTCTACTCCTCTTTCTACCCCCACAGTGCCCAGCACAGAGCCCTACATGTAGCTAACGCATGTGTTTGACAGATTGATTTTTCCCTTTGTGGCCAAGCCTTTCTGCCTTCTGATTGGCCAGCACACAGTTCTGCTGGTAAAAAATGGTGTTTGCTTGAAACAGAACAAATGGAGAAGTTAGGAAAAATACTTTCTCTGGACTATAGAAAAAGGGGAACACTTTGGAAAAGAAAGTGACAGCTGTCACGGGCATTTTCTATTAGGTGTAAAAAGAAATCCTTGTGGATTTGTCTGGTTATCAGAGTCTGTTTCTAGAAATGATCAAGAAGAGTAGTGAAAGTATCCTGAGTTAACACAAATGATCCTAATAATAGGTTATGATATACTGAGTATTTACTACATATCAGACACCAAGTAAATGTGGTTGCACATGGTCTTATTTGACCTTGAAAAATCCCTATGGCATAGTTAACATTATTTCTATTTACAGGTAAGGAAAAACTAAGGCTGAGGAGACGGCATCATAACCTAGGTCTACTTAACTCCAAGTCTTTTTTTTTTTCAAGTCTGAGTCTCACTTTGTCGCCCGGGCTGGAGTGCAGTGACATGCTCACAGCTACCGCAGCCTCGACCTGCTGGGCTCAGGCAATCCTTCTGCCTCAGTCTTCCAAGTAGCTGGAACCACAGGCATGCACCACCATGCCTGGCTAACTTTTTTTATTTATTGTAGAGACAAGGTCTTGCCAAGTTGCCCAAGCTGGTCTCGAACCCCTGCATCAGGCAATCCTCTCACCTCCACCTCCCAAAGCGCTGGGATTACAGGCATGAGCCACCGCGCCCGGCTGACCCCAAGTCTTGCTTGCCTTTTTTTACAATCCTGGAACCTCTTGTGGATTTGGGTTTCATGAAACTGAACAGGTTTTAGTTTTCAGGAAGTAACACACACTGGGAACTCATGCTTCCACACTTGCTCTAAGTCCATCGGCTCGGATTAACGTGGTTCATGTTCGGGGTCTCTCAGAAGAAGTTCGGAGTTCTTGCGATGGGGGCTTTGCAGCTGGTCTGGTTAAGGAGTTTGCCAGATGTGTGGAAGAGAATAAAAAATCCCCGGAATGTTGTCTCTGTTGGTGTCATTCATTACTGTGGCACAGACGGCTCCTCCGAGGGCCTCCCTAAACCCCAGCCCTGTCGGCCTGCATTTGACGCTTCCAACCTGGCTGATGGGACAAGCCCAGCAGAGACCCTCGCTGACAGGCTGCGGGACAGTTGATGGATGGGCTCAGCCTGTGTTGCTGGGCAGAGCCAAGACAGCTCTGAAGAGGTACTTCCACAGGCCTGCTGGCTGTCGTGTCACCTGCTTTGGGAAGGTGGGCAGAGTCTGTGCTATTTGATGGCTACCTCCTCCACCACCCACTGGGGACTGGGAACTGGCACCTTCTGCTCCAACAAGACCCTCACCATGCACTTTCTCTGGCAAGACCAACCAAAACAGCAGCTTGCCTGTGGGCATGAGGGTGGTGTTTCCTTTGCCACACTGTTGTCTACAGCCAGCAGGGACTCCACAAATTCCATCAAAGCACAGCCCCCGTGTGAAATCAGACACTTAACAGGGATGTTTTTAAAACCTAATCTACTCTTGGCAGGAAGGCCCAGCCACTACACCACAGCCTGCTCCACAGCCAGAGACTGACAGCACACCTCGAGATGGACTCTGAGTAAATAGCCAGCTTCTGGGTCCCTTCCTTTATGCACCAAACTGTCAGAAGCTATTGGCAGAGGTCCTTGTAAAGCCCAGCTTCTTGGGATATTAAATCCATATTTCTCTACTCCCAATAAGTGGTTTCTCGGTATGTTCTTAAATACTTTCGGTGATGGGGAACTCATGACTTCCCAGGAGCCCAACAGCCCATTTAAACAGCTCTGATGATGAGGAAGTTCTTTCTGTTTGCAGATCAAGTCTGACCTTATAGCTCCAAGTCCACTTAATTAAAGCCATCACAGACTGAATCTACCCCCTTTTCCATGATCTCTGTTCAGTGGGTCCACTGCTTAGAGTTCAAATTGTTCACTGCATAATTCTAGGGTATCATAAGCTCACTGGGGCAGCTGATAGAAAAGTAAAGGGCCCCTGAGTCCTCAGCACTCCTGTTTCTTCCACTGTGTCTTCCACAGTTCCTGCGGCTCTGCCTCTCTGACACCCAGATCCAAGGAACCCCTTGTGCTCTAAGCTGGAGAAGAGGCCCCTCTTCCAGACCCTTGACTTTGGCCTCTCCCCAGACTCCACATGAAGATGGTGGAGTGACCTCAGCAAGGACACCCCTGTGAAATACTGTTCTGAGGACACAAACTATGTTTCATTGAATGCCTTGCTTTGGAGAAAGACAGGTTATCTCAAAAATCCAGCAGCCATGCTCAGACATATTTCTTTTTCAATTCCACAAACATTCTTTGAGCACGCAGAATGGAACAAAGACCTGGCCTTACTTGCTTTGAGCTGGCATGCTTCTGTCTACCCTCCAGGGCTTATCTGCTGGAGAATATTGACTGTCAAACTGAATTTGGCACAGTTACCACCATCTTTGCTCCAAATAAATCCTTAATTCAGAGTTTGGATGTGACTGCTGTCTCCAGGTGCTGTCTGTCTGGCTCTGGTCCTTCAGAGGACGTGACCAGCCCAGGTACCTACCAACATACCTGTGGGGTATGTTGGCCTCTGGCCAGATAATGAAGCAGTAAGTGGAATTTTCCTTCTTGGGGTTCAGAGCAGCAAATGGGAACCTGGGCCCAGTGTTAGGGACATAGATGATGTAGTAGAAAGAAGCAGCCCTGCCAGCCTGGGCATGGATATGGGCACCAGACAGAGGAAATAGGAAAGGGACAAGGTAAGAAAGTAAGTCTGTGAGACAGAGCATCTATGTGAAAGCGCAGAACCCACTGAGTGGTGGACACCTTGAGCCTGAGGAGACAAATAGTCCTGGCGGAAGGGATAGCAGTGGCAGTGCTGGGGGAAGGCTACCACCAGGCATAGGTCAGCCCAGGTGCTACCTGCTAACAGTGCTGGCTTCCTGCCCAAAGGGTTGGAGGGACTGGGGGAAACACAGGGCCACCAGCCCGCCCAGAGCCAGTCATAATCCCATCACACCCTCATTTTGCCTGGACTTTCCATCTCATCCCAGCCACTAATAGGCTGTGTGATCGGGAGCAAGTTGTTTCTCCCTTCTGAGCCTCGGTTTCTTCCTCTGTAGAATCAAGGGGTTTAACTACATCAACAGTTTTTCTCTTGGGGTCCTGAGACTGGCCAAGAGGGATGTTCGTGGGCAACTCGAAATTGTGTAAGGCGTGATGTGTGTGCAACTTTTTCCAGGCAAATCCCTAAGGTGTCTGTGAACCAGTTGAACCCCGAGGTCCTTCCAACACTTCCATCCTTGGGCCCCCTCTGCTGCATCCCAGAACTAGCTCGTGGCTGGTGGGAAGTCCCAGGGCAGAGACTCGACACACTCACCTGGGTCCAGGACTTCCAGGAAAGGCATTAGGGAGAACTGAAAAACAACAAAGAAAGAGGTTGAGACAGGACTTGGCCACCAGGTGGTGCCCTCCTGAGCTCCTGTCCACGAGGGAGGATCATATCCAGGGTGTGAGAACACTGGGCACTTTCTGATGGTTGTAACTGGGACAGGGCTGGAGGGAGCAGTGGGGTCTACTTGAAGATGCCCCACTGCCTGTGTCCACTGAACACCACAGCATTGTCCCTCCTCCACAGCAGGGGCTTGTGTCCCTTGTATACATCTGTCTTTGTGTTGGAACATGGCTGCCAGGTACAGACGTGCCTGTCAGTTATAGAGATTTTCTTCTTCTCTCTGCCTGACTGTACACCACTGAATTTCATCCTTCTAACCATCCTTCAAGGAGGCTTGTAATAGCCTTGCTTCCAGATGAGAAAAATGTGGATTCAGAGGTCACATGGCTGTGATAGGATTAGGATTCATGCTCAAGTCTAGGTGATTTCCTTGGGTGACAGCTCCTGGGGATTGGGGACAGACAGATGCTTAAAACTCTCCAATGACTTCCCTTGTTCTTGGAATAAAATACAACAACCTACCATAAAGCACAAGCACCTACCAACCCTCTCCCATACTCTCATGCTCCTTACTAAACTCCAACCACATTTGGCTTCAAAATGATGCAAGTCACGTTTTTCCCACCACAGGCCTTTGCATGTACTGTTCCCTCCACCTGGAAACCCTTCCCAATTACTCTCAGCAGGTCTCAGTTTAAATGTTATCTCTTCAAGGAGGCCTTCCCTGAATATCCTATCAGCATGACATCCTCTACCCCCATAATTATGTCACCGCACCCACTCATTCCCACCACAATCCTTATTACAGTATATACTTTTATATTTATTTGCATGTCACCTGTCTCTAACATCTGACTGTGTTCTCCAGAGGGGCAGGGATCATGTCGTGTTTTGTCATTGAGGTATTACCCAATATCTAGCATAGGCCTTGCTAGAATAAGTAAATAATGATAAAATTTTGCTGAATAAGTAAATAGTGATATAAACAGTTCTTGAATATGCAATACTTAACCAGAAAAGAAAGTTTTACTCATTTAATAACCACAGTATTTTCTTGCATTTAAATCAGAGGTAAGCAAATTAAGGCCCTTGGATCAAGCCTTGCAGCTGTGTTTTTGTAAATAAAGTTTTATTGGAACACAGCCATGCCCATTTGTTTGTGTATCGTCTATGGCTACTATTGTGCTACAATAGCAGAATAGTCATGACAAAGAAAGTATCACCCAAAATATTTACTATCTGACACTTTGCAAAGTTTGCTGACCTGTGATTTTAAAAATTGCTAGTTCTATCTATCTGTCTATCCATCTATCTACCTATCAGCTATCTGTCTATCTGTCTATCTATCTACAGACTTCCCTTTGGGACTTGGCTGCCAGAAAGCTGAGTCCAATGAGGTGCGTCTTCCCAGTACCCACATCCATCCAGACAGTTTGGCATACTTGGTTCCTCTACCCTCAGCAGAATTTTCAATTTTCTGTTTTACTGTTGACTTCCTTAAATGATCTTGGGGTGTAAGCAGATGCTAAATTAGAAAAGAGAAATAGTAGGCCGGGCGCAGTGGCTCACACCTATAATCCCAGTACTTTGGGAGACCAAGGTGAGAGGATTGCCTGAGCCCACAGGTTCAAGACCAGCCTGGGCAACTTGGCGAGACCTCATCTCTACAATAAACCAAGAAAAA